AGAGGGCGCCACCAAATTTTGAGGACACTTTTTTAATTGGCTCAAAGAGAGAAGTGGCCTATCTTGTTATGTACTATCTTTGCTAACACCTATATGTACCTAGTATCGATACCTGCCCATCACTACTCAAAGTGGCATCAGAGCTGATGAGAGCAAGTTGTTTACATTTTTTGTGGGTAAGGAGACTGGAGAGGGGAAGAAAACATTGACAGTACTTCTCGTGCATACGTTACAAAATAACGAATCTATAACCTTTGTTTAATTGCGTTAGTTATGTTTCTGGTCCAAGAGTCTCTTAATGTTGTGGTTTTTCTTTTCTTCTTCATTTACGCGCTGTCAGGAATGGAATTGGAATGGTTTGCTGATGTTAATGTTAGATTTCTAGATCTAGATCTCTAGATTAGATCTCTATCTTCTGCTGCTACCCTGCCTGGCTGCTGCGTGCTGCTTCAGCATCTCGAAGCAATTGTTGGTTCCAGCGGTTTGGGTTTTTCTATAGGCCTAGGCAAGGATTCTAAATCTAGATCTAATATAATCTAGATCTAGATATATATCTAGATCTAGATCTAGATTAGATCTAGAGATTCCACTATCAGTCACAGAGATGGGGCAGTTATAATTATAATGGACTGTGTTCATTTCCATGCTTCAGAGGCTGGAGGAAAGGCAAAGATTTAGATCTAGATCTAGAAATAATAGATTCTAGAATCTTGATCTAGATATCTAGATCTAGAATCTAGATTCTAGCTCTCAAATATCTGAGCTTTGCATAGATCTAGATGATAGTTAGTGATAAAAGGTCTAGACCTAATAACCCAACAATTGTTCAAGCCTTTTCCCTGGTTCAGATCTCAGGGCTCCCCTTTTCAGGCCAACACAAGGGGTTCCTTCATCCTTTGGTCTACTATTTTAAGGGGTATTTAAACCCTTGTAAGTTGTTTTAGGAACTTAAAGGGTAAAAGTCAATGCAATATCTCATAATTTTATAGATCTAGAGATCTAAGATTTTTGCTTGCAAACATTAATAAACTCACACGCAATTCACACAAACACACATAGAGTGACCATGATGACTATGATTGAATGCTAATGATTTTAATTAACACTTAAGAAATTTAAATGAGTAATATTGACTAGAGTTACATTTGTGTCCATTTGGAGGGGGGAAGAGTGGTGTTGGTTGAGCAGTTGGGTCTATCAAAACGAAGTGATTATTCGGACTCGAGTCCGAATATGAAAAAATGTTATTCGGACTCTGATTCTTGTCCAGCATGACATCACTTCCGACTTCCGACTTCCTGTGACTCGTGACTCCGGCTTCCTGTCCTGCCTCACTCGGGACTCGCCTCAGGCTGGGTAGAGACCGGGATTACTTCGGGCAAAAAGGCGT